ATTTCATTAGAGAGCACCTTCCACCTGTTGCTACGACATCTTGCGGAACCCTAACAACAATTTTGTAGCAACCATTAACCAAGGTAGGTTAAGTACTTCAAATTATCCAAGTAAATGCTTCATCCATAAGGTCCTACAAGCCCCCGCCACAGAAGCCGGCAACTCACTTCTAGACATATTGTTCGTTAATCATAATCACGATTATAAGAGAAAAACTACAGATTCAACAAAACTATTGTTTTTTCTTCACTTTTGTGGTCCTAAACATTAAACCGATATAAATGAACATCAAATTGGGCCGTTTAACTCAACTCTCCAGTAACCAAATCTTCAACTGACATTTTATGTTTCTTTCAATTTGAATTTGCTAAACAAAACTTTTCTTTCAATTTATGATTTATCGGAGCCACTTAGTATTCCTCTTCACTTGTAAGTGAAAGGTCTTACGTTCAATTCTCGCCGCGAATTTGTACCACATTATTGCCCTTTGTGGCCAAGCATACTCCCCCTCTCCCATATAGATAAAATCGTTTGTTCCAAAAAAAAAAAAAAAAAAAAAATTGATTTATCAGATAACCAACCCAATGCACCCTTCTCACTTCTTACCAACAATCAACACCTACAATTGAGTCCATAAAAGTACCTTACTTTATTTCGAATACAATCTGGAACCACAAAACCCAACAATCGAAGGGACTTTTCAGAGACGATGAAAACTGAATTTCCACTAATATTCAAAACCCAGTAAGTTGAAAAACTTGTACTTGCTCGTCTTCATCTAAATTTAATCGGAGACCAAATCAAATAATCGAATTAAAAATCAAAGAAAAGGGAAAATAGATACCATTCTTTGAACCATTTGACAGCGGGAGTCTTGGATCGGAAGATTGGGCGCCTCTCGAAGTAATTGTGATGGAATTGGGAGTCCATCTCTTTCTTCTTCTTCTATTCGACGTCTTTATTAGAAATTCACGGTTGGAATTGGGGGTTAGGGTTAGGGCTAGAATTAGGGTTTCGTAATAGGGCGAGACCGCGAAGGAGAAAAAGCTTTAAGCTTTAGCAGCTCCGGTTCTGTCGGTTCATCACTTGACGTCTGTTTGGCGGGTCGGCTGAAAGGCCAGAGCCGAACCCAACTGGATAAAATTCAAAATTTCCTTTTCAATTTGGTAATCAAAAGAGAAATGTTTTTAAATTAAATAAATACATATTTTCTGAATAAATACATACGTTTATTATTCGATAATTTTGCACAAATTTTTACTTATACGTATACGTTATACTTGTCTAAAATTGTATACGTTATAAATTAGATTTTCGATAGGTTCCTATGGAAAATTGAAATATTTTGGTAACACCCTACTTAAATCTTTATGATGATTAAAAAATGGGTGGTGCTATCCACACACTCATTTTTACGTTTTACACACCTCTCTTAATTTCCGGTCATCGGATCGAATGAATTGAAGAAGTAGAAGATCAATGGACAAAAATTAACAAGAGTGTGTGGAAGGTAAAAAGACATGTGTGAATAGAACTACCCTTTAAAACCACCTACACTGAGAGTCAAATCCTGCGAAATCCCCAAGTAATTTCTCTTTATTTTGGCAATTTCAATTTGCAGTGTTTACTTTATTTTTTAATTGGTAATGCTAGAAAAATCATCTATTTAAATAATATTTTATAAATTAGTTGACGTGATTTTTGATGATTAAATTATTAATAAAGTATTAATTAACATTACCTTATTTGCATGTCTATTGGTGATGGAACTTATATTATGCGGAGGATAATAAACTTTTTTAAGTTAACCAGTTGTAAAATAGAAGTTACTTTTTTTGGCAGAGAAAATAGAAGCTACTTGATAAGGTAGGAAGTAAAATTGGGATTTGAAGGGGGTACAAAAGTATGGTTAGTTTCTCCACTCACAAAAGATAAAAGTTTAGACTTAAAAGAAGAATATTTTGTACGTTCTAGATCCAATTGATATGTCATTAAATTAGTATTATGTATTAGAATTGAATGTAAGACAATGTATGTGTACATCTCTACATCTCTTTGTCAACATAGACCATATAGTATGCCAAGTATAAGAAAAATGTACTACTAATAAATCATAGAGCATCATACCTTTTGAACTTCCACCTTGCTAAATGCATCCATAATTAGGGGTGGAAAAAAATACCTAAAATTTCAAATCGAACCCAAAAAATCCCGAAATCGAACCCAAAAAATCCCAAACCGAAAATCCTTAAAATTTCGGTATCCAATCCCGAACTGATCCTTAAATTTTGATACGGGAATCAGTCTCACATTTTCATTCGTTCAGTAATTCCGAACCGAACTGAAATAAAAAATATATATATTATTTCATTTTAAATATATATTTGGAATTGTAACAGCCGTAGGATTTGGTTGAGATTTAATCTCAACTGTTAAATCCAAATAAAACCCTCCCTTAGTCACTCTCTCTCAACCTCACCTCACCCTACTCTCTCATCCTCGCCGATTTCTCTCGATCTCTCTCCTCCTTATTTACCATCTTCAAATCCAACCACATCACAAAAGTGACTCACCTTTCTCTCTCGACTGACCTCCCTGATCTCTTTCTCTCTCTCTCTCTCTCTCTCTCTCTCTCTCTCTCTCTCTCTCTCTCGACTTCTCATCCCTCACTGAAAAACATGTTGCAGGAATGGCAAGAACTCAAGTGATAGCATCGTTAATCCTCACCAAAAGTTTGGCTTCGTTTGAAGGACTCAGACTAAGTTCACTCAGTCTTAGACACTCTCTCTGTCTCTCCTTCTCGAATTTGAAGCTCAGCAGCCTCTTACCCTCTCACAATTTGACTTCAAAGAACTCTCTCCATTCCGACCACCACCACACCTCACGGCTTCATCCCCCACCACCGAAAATACCGAAAATATTTTGAGAATCCCGAAATTTTGGTTTGGGATCAGTTGTCGGATTCTTGTCTCGAAAATTTTTTATTCGGGATTTGGTATGCCATTTTCGATTTGGTATCCCATACCGAACCAGTCCTATCCATAACCCATTGGGTTCTTAAGGAGATTTTTTAATGTGCCCAGAGAACCAGCACATGTAATTAGACAAGCAGAGAGAAGTTTTTATTTCGAGTGTCCCTCCACTTATATAATGACATATAACACATGTAACCATCTTTCAAACATACTTAAAAATCTCTCATATTCTTAATTTTGTGTTTCTTCTTGTTCCCTGTGTTAAACAGACTTTCCAGAATCCCCATTGATTAAGCCGTTTTGGAAGCTTCACGTCCTAAATACTTGGAATTACATTGCGTGTCCTTCCCAATCAAATTGGTAACAGTTTGCAATCTTACAAACAATGGGTCACTTTCTTTTTAGTTGTCGAAAAGGACACAATATTTGCTAAAAGGTGGTACCACACACACATTTTTATCTTTCACACATTTTTTCTTTTTACTTTTCCTCTTATGAATTGAATAAATCAAACAAAATTTATGGACAAAAATTAAAAAGAGCACGTGGAAAGTAAAAAGACGTGTGTCATTTTTATCTCTCACAAACTCCTCTCAATTTTTAGCGTCTAATTGAATGAGTTGAAGTAGATCGATGAACAAAAATTGATAAGAGTACGTAGAACTCTAGAAGGTAAAAACGGATATGTAAATAACACAATCTTTACAAGTAGTTTGGATGAAGAAATTTAAGATTACTAAAGAATTTAAAAATGACGGAAATTGAAATGACGAGATTTTATTTTCTAGAATTTGTAAATTTTCTTGTTTGGTTAACCTAAAAGAATAATGGAATTGAATACAGAATTTGTTATTTTTTAACTCTCAATCATAGAAATTGAGAAATGACACCTATTTACATGGAATTTGAATTTGGGATTTGGAGGTCCCAAATTCCAAGTTTTTTTTCCATGCGGAAATTCTAAATTTCTATGCTTATGAATCCAAACAAGAGAATTGGTGCCTGTTAATTTATAAATTCTGACTTTTACCAAAATTCCATGTTTATTTCCTTCATCTAAACATAGTGTTAGTGAAATTGTAAGTGAACTAAATCACGAAACCGAAAACCAAACCAATTTTTTCGGTTTGGGAAAAATATTGGATACCGAAACCGAACCAATTGTACCGGGATCCAAATTTTCGGAAATGACAAAATAATTTTTGGTTTCGGGCCACTTCGGTATTGGGCCAAACCCTTTCACAGAAGCCCAAATTTTACTGAAACCCAATTTCACCCCGACGAATTTCCGAAAACTTTCGATGGAAGAAATATTTGTGCATGATGAGGGGTAGTGTACTTGGAACCACTGATTATTGGTATATAATTTTGTTGTGTTTTTTGCTCTGTAATTCAATTTGATTTATGTTACTCTAGCTAATATAGATTTTCCACTTGTCTAGCATATGTCTAGCGTATGTAGACATACACGAAGATATATACATGAATACATACATGCATGCAAACGAGGGTTGACTTAATTGATAAGATCTCTGACCTGGTTTGGTACTGAGGTGATTCTGAAAGAAGCTGGTATCAAAAAAAGCTGGGAGCTGTTTTTGTGTTTGGTAAACATTCAGTTTCAGTTTTTTTTCACAGTTTTGGGTGAAAAAAAGCCAAAAACAAGAAGCTGCAAAACCTAGCTTTGAAAAACTAGCTTTTTTTCACATCTGTTTTACATAAAAGTTTACCAAACATTATAATACTGTTTTTTTTTTCAAAAGCACTTTTACAAAAAAGTTTACCAAACACTCTGCTGCTTTATTTCACAGCCGCTTATTCTCATAGCACAGCAGAAGCAGCTTTTTTTCAAAGCACAGCAATACCAAACCAACCCTCTGTCTTGTGTCTCGCCCCCACTAAGATTTCAGTTCCACTGCCAGCCATTCTCGTTGGGTGCACAAGAATAAACCAATCTCTCCCTAAACTTTCCATCACCATGTATACATACATACATACATACATACATACATACACAACCCCATGTATAATTATCAACATATATATTAGTTTGTACTCATTATTTGAAAAGAATGGATAAAAATAAAAGAAGAGCTAGCAGTGCCATCAGCCTGGAATGACACGCACATAGACACGAACGTCGTGATATTCTCTGCCCACCTAATATTTGGGAATCTTCTATTTGGACTGCATGCCCGGTAGGTTTTTCTAAAAACCTAATATATAATATATACGTACACACACACACACGCACAGTTACATGGAAAGGCAAAGGCCCGCAGGCTGCTTCCAACTGACCCGCCCGAGTTGCTTACTCAACCGAGTCGTGGCGAGTCGACTCATTCCATTATACCATAACAAGCTTTAAGAATCTTTCCTCCTATTCCGATCCAGCATCAGCCAGAACCTGCCATAGCAACAGCTTCCCATGATCACCAAGAACACCATCATCACTTTGTTCTAGTACTGTTGCACATTTTTCCTGCTGCCATTTTTTAGCTATATCTTTTTTCTTCCTCCTCACCAAGTTCCTCAACGTACTAATCCAAATCGGTAGCCTAACTCGTTCGATAACACAGTTTTCCATCTCCGTAACAATCTCTCCGATCGTCGGACGATTGTCTACGTTGGACGATACACAACTCGCTGCAACGTATAAAATGTGCCTTATTGTGCTTGACATGTCCATCGGAAGCCCTATCCTTGCATCACAAATCTCGTCAATTCGTTCTTCTTCGATCAATGCTACTGCCCAATCCACTATCGAAGCTGGTGACTTAGAAACATCGATGACTTTCCTGCAGCTAATAATCTCAAGCAACACAACACCAAAACTAAACACATCGTTCTTGGTACTTAGTTTGCTAGGAGTGGTGTAACAAGGGTCCATGTATCCAATAGTACCTGCAGCGGGTGGACTCACCTGACTCGGCGAGTCAAAGAGCACGGCAAGTCCAAAATCCGCCAACTTGGCATTCCAATCTGAATCGAACAAAATATTTTCAGACTTGATGTCCCTGTGGATCACCGTAGGCTTCCCTTCGTGAAGAAATTGGACAGCGCGGGCGACTTGGATGAAGATTTCTAGACGTTTAGGCCACGGTGGCGGTTTAGGTGCAAGATGAAGTAGGTCATGGAGAGAGCCATTGGGCATGAACTCCATGACAATGAGCTTGTTGTTGTTCGAGTGATCTTGGCTCGTTCCAAGAAGGCTTATGACATGCTGGTTTTTGGGTAGAGAGGATAACACACATATTTCGTTTTCGAGCTTGGAGTGGTTATCACGATGTTGCAATGGCTTCTTTAGGGCAACCATTTTGTTGAGTAGCATGGCTTTGTAGACCATTCCATGGCTACCTTTACCGACGAGCCGAGTCGGAGAGAAGCTTCCTGTTGCGTTTACAAGCTCATCATAATCAAAGCCCACCATTTAACCAAGAAGTAATTAAACTTTGGTACCGTGAAAAATGTATGGTTTTAGTGTTTGATTGTGATGAAGTTTGATGGATTGGATGTGTATGTAGGTGAGAGTTGGCAGGAGAAAAAGCTGGAAGTGCTTTTGGAGATGCCAGTGAATAAAGCGGCTGTGGGGAGACGTCAAAAGAAGAATGAGTAGATAGAAAAGGTGAATCTTCTTTGGACTTTGTTGTCTAGCTTAAGGACTCAAAAATTTGAATCATTTATTTAGATAAGATGATTCAGCGAAATGAGTTAACAAGAACCATTAGATTCAATTTGGATGATTGAGATTGTCTCATCGTTTGCTTTCGAACAATGAGATGCATAGACCATCCCTATCCATAAAAAAGAAAAAAAAAAAGAAAGAGTTATTGAGAAAAGGAAAAGTAAGTGAGTAGTGCTGCTGAGAAAAAGCAAAGGAACTCTGACGAGGGATGAGATTTCGATGCTCCAAAAGAAAAGGGATTATGAGGAGGGATGAGATTTCGATGCTCATTAGAAAATTTTAAAATTTTAGATGCTGGATGGCTTTGCCTGGTTGTTTTCGGCCCCTAGCCCTTAAGCATTTAACACCCTTTTGATATTCTAAGTTGAATTTAAATCTATTTTTTAAGGGCATAATATGTTATATAAATTTCATAATTGAAATCATTTAATTTTTTAATTTATATTTGAAAATTATTTTCTTTTTAAATTATATATTGTTTATATATTGCATGAAACAAATCGATAGTTTGAATACTAAATAATCTATTCGATTTGAAGTTTCCAATTATAGACTTTATATGGAGATATGATATTTGCACATAGTGGAATTGATTTTGAGACCAATCTAATGCTTGACTTGGAGTTTTTTTCTTTTTCTAAGATGCGATGATTTTTTATTTTTATATAAACAATATTTTACACTAAATTTATCGAAATTATAGGGAAGGAAATCGAATTGAGTACATAAGGAAAACACATTGTTCTAGTCAACTTGACCAAACCCAAATTTATTTACCACGTGATTTTTGAAGATAATCTTTAACTATGCGAAAGAAAAACTTTGGTGGAACGTGAAAGACACAATCCGCTAACTAAACATGTCTGATTCATATTTGCACATTTTCTTGGAGTTACAGAGATTATACTAAGCGAGGTTTAGATCATAAATATATTTTTTCAATCAAAAAAATTAAAAAATTCGAACTTATAACTTCTAACTATAAAAATATAAACACTGCTAAACGAAGAACTAGTTGATTTAAACAAGTTTAATAGACACTTGATTCGTTCTATCTGGAATAATCGTGTCTGTTAATAAAATCAATGAGAATACAACCCTTAAAATATCCCATGGAACAATGGGATATTACTACATACTGTCGGACCGTCGGTGTTAAAGAAAACGTTTATCGCCTATGAAACAATGGTCACCTGAACATAGTACGATTGAGAAATTATTGGGCCTTATTATCGAGGGCAACACAGATTGATCAGGTATACTGACCTATGGTTTGATATTATGTTAATTTCACTTCACATAACATTGTGACTTTGTATCCAGTCTATTTAAATTCTTTTTCGTGCTCAAAATACTGTTAAGTAGATACAAAATTGACTAATTCCATTTTACCTCAAAGAGAGAGTTCGTTTCAAAAACCTTACTTTTAATCAATTTTCTTTCATGTGATTGATTGCTTTAGCGTGAAAAAAATATTGTTCAGAGCTTAGATTTATAGCTTCTACTTGCTACTTGGTTAATCAATTCGAAGCTCCAACCCCCCATTCTATATTCTGAAAAATTAACGTTGTCAACAATTTTCTCGATGTGTTATTCATGGTCCATAACATTGATTGATTTGGTAATATAGCTCAACTGCTGAACCCCAAAGTCGTGGTGGTGGTAAAAACAAGTATTGCTTTGAGAAATTTGACAAAGCAATGTGGCATGAACATTACTTCCACAATTGACCAAACAACCAAAAGCTTTCGTGAAGTAGACATATATAGTTTGATGGGGGAAATAATGCAATTACCTTTCCAAAATGTTTGGCAAAACCAATGGTTTCAAAGATTCACACGAAATAAAAATCATATGATAACACATCCTTCGAGTGGATTGAGCATGTGACCAATTAACTGAACTGTTTCCGTCATTTCCTCTCTGGTAAAAAACAAGACTGGGTGATCAGCCACATGGCATCTTTTGTCAGTTAAATAAGGAAACACGGATACAAATTTACACATCTTTGTTGTTTGCACGGGACGTCAATGTGGTGATGTACCCATGCCATGTGAGTCTTTCTCCTTGAAATCTCACATCACATAGGTAATTTTTTCGGGTGTGGCTATGATGCCTAGTGGTACTAGATACTCTAGATTTGTAGCCATATGATTAAGAAGAGAATTGAATTGATCTGTTTATATGTAATTGAGTTACTCTTCATATTGTCACTTTATTTCATAAGAGAACCTCTACTTCTTCATGAATTTTTAAATATGACCGTTCATTTTTCAACGTACTCAATGCTCTGTTGCATTGTAGAACAACTGCATTGCTTTCTCTGATCTTTACTCTAAAGATGCTTAGGAGATGAACCTTAAGCTGTACAACTTAGCTGCAACTTATGACTAAAATGAACGTAGCTCAACTACTGAGCCCGAAAGTTTGGTAGTAAAAACTAGAATTGCTTTGACAAAATTGACAAACATAACGTATCATGACTTCCGCAAGTAACCAAACAACCAAAAGAGACTTGACGCAAAATCCAGCGCAGTGGAGCTCTAAGATTCCTACAGCCAACCAGACTTAGTAGGACAAGCCTTTGTTGTTGTTATACAATCAGTTTAGAAATCCAACCGTAGACGCAGGTCGATGGGGAAGTAATGCCATCCGGTGTGCATTGACTTATCCATGGACAAACTCCACACGGAATGGAAGCCATTGCGCCTACCTTGGTTTCCCCTCTGGTGCCTCCCTTGCTTTTGCATTTATAGCAAACTTTTCCGATTTGAATAGAAGCAAACTCCCCCATCCCAGTGCTCTTCACCTCCACGACTCGATTGTCCAGAACCAAATCACTCACAATCTCCTCCGTTTGCTGTTTCGTAAACTCAGTCTTGAATATTTTGGTCTTTCTGATCGCGTCTGCAATTCCCTCCAACGTAGCTGATATATCATCTTCGCAAACTGATCCTTCACAAGGTTTATATAATCTTTGTCGAGTTTCCCCTCCGAGTACCAAGCCCCACAGGTTAACTACTTGGAGGGCTCGAATTCTGTTGCAATGTAATGCTTTCTCCCCTTGCTCTGGACGTTTACAACTTCTTGTATCAGTTTCTTGGCTTCAAGTGTTTTCAACGTTGCGTTAAACACCTTGTCAGGGAGGTTTGTCTCTTTCTTCATGTCTCGCGTCCAAATTCCCATATCTTGCTTGCTCTGGATCACACTGTATAGAATCCGCTCATTCTGGCTCAAAGAGTCCGCCGGGAAACTAGAGTCTGGCTGTTTCCGTTTGCTCATTGCTCTGATCCTAAACTTATCGACACTTGCATCACAAAGCCCAAGGCCTGCTCACTGCTATGTAGGACAAAGCGGAACAATATGGGTCGACTCATCCCATTATCCCATAAAAAGCTTTCGGATCTTTCCTCCTATTCCGTTCCAGCATCAGCCAAAACCTGCCACAGCAACAGCTTCCCGATTGAGACATGATCACCAAGAACACCATCATCACTTTGTTCTAGTACTGTTGCACATTTTTCCTGCTGCCATTTTTTAGCCATATCTTTTTTCTTCCTCCTCACCAAGTTCCTCAACATACTGATCCAAATAGGTAACCTAACTCGTTCGATAACACAATTTTCCATCTCCGTAACAATCTCTCTGATCATCGGACGATTTTCTACGTTGGACGATACACACCTCGCTGCAACATATAAAATGTGCCTTATTGTGCTTGACATGTCCATCGGAAGCCCTATCCTTGCATCACAAATCTCGTCGATTCGTTTTTCTTCGATCAATGCTACTGCCTAATCCACTATCGAAGCTCTTGACTTAGAAACATCGATGACTTTCCTACGGCTAATAATCTCAAGCAACACAACACCAAAACTAAACACATCGTTTTTGGTACTTAGTTTGCTAGGTGTGGTGTAACAAGGGTCCAAGTATCCAATAGTACCTGCAGCGGGTGGACTCACCTGACTCGGCGAGTCAAAGAGCACGGCAAGTCCAAAATCCGCCAACTTGGCATTCCAATCTGAATCGAACAAAATATTTGCAGACTTGATGTCACTGTGGATCACCGTAGGCTTCCCTTCGTGAAGAAATTGGACCGCGCGGGCAACTTGGATGAAGATTTCTAGACGTTTGGGCCACGGTGGCGGTGTAGGTGCAAGAAGTAGGTCATGGAGAGAGCCATTGGGCATGAACTCCATGACAATGAGCTTGTTGTTGTTCGAGTGATCTTGCCTTGTTCCAAGAAGGCTTATGACATGCTGGTTTTTGGGTAGAGAGGATAACACACATATTTCGTTTTCGAGCTTGGAGTGGTTGTCACGATGTTGCAATGGCTTCTTTGGAATTTTAGATACTGGTTGGCTTTGCCTGGTTGTTTTCGGCCCCCACCCCTTAAGCCTTTAACACCCTTTTGATATTCTAAGTTGAATTTAAATCTAATTTTTTTAGGGAATAATACATATTTTTATTGTATAAATTTTATAATTAAAATCGTTTAATTTCTTAATTTATATTTGAATATTATTTTTACAAAAATTATATATTTTTTATGCATCAAATTGTATGAAACAAATCAACAGTTTGAATACTAAATAATCTCTCCGATTTAAAGGTTTTTTATTTTATTTTTTTAACAGGTGATCTTTAAATGAAGATTAAAAAGTGGAATGTTTCCAATTATAGACTTTATATGAAGATATGATATTTGCACATGGTGGAATTTATATTGAGACCAATCTAATGCTTGACTTGGAGTTTTTTTTCTTTTTCTACGATGTGATAATTTTTTTTTTTAACATAAACAATATTTTACAGTAAATTTATCGAAATTATGGGGAAAGAAATCAAATTGAGTAACATACTGTTATAAGCAACTTGACTAAACTCAAATCTACTTACAACGAGATTTTTGAAGATACTCTTTAACTATGAGAAAGAGAAACTTTGGTGGGAGGTGAAAGACACCACGCTAAGTAAACGAGTCTAACTCATATTTGCACTTTAACTTGGAGTTACAAAAATTATGCCAAGTGAGGTTTAGATCATAAATGTATATTTCTCCAATCAACAAAATTAGAAAATTCGAACTTATAACTTAAAACATAAACACCATTAAACTAAGAATTAGTTGATTTAAATAAGTATAATAGAATTTGTTCTTAAAAGTATCTGGAATAATCGTGTCTTTTAATAAATTCAATGAGAATACAAGCCTTAAAATATCCTATGGAAACCAAATCTTATAATTCCACTTTAAATATTACTACATACTGTCGGTGTTAAAGAAAACGTTTATGGCCTGTGAAACAACGGTCACGAACATAATACAATTGAGCAATTATTGTGCATAGTTATCAAGAGCAACTTAAATAGATCGGGTATCCACTCCATGTAAGTTCTTTCCTTAGTCGTATAGTGTTAAAATAGTATCCCGTAGATATAAAAATGAGACACTTTGGATAAAGTTCCTAACTACGTACCAATGTTCTTAAACTAAAACTTTTGTGGTTTTTAGTTTTTGATAGAAATCTCTGACATTAATGTAATAATGTATTTATATGTAGGTTATTATATTTTTAAATTAAAAATAAAATTTGTAGTTGTTTATGTTAATGAGATTATAAATTAAAACCCATATTTATGGGATTAAAATTATTAAAGATAATTATACTCTCCAATATGGTCATTGTACGTATATGTACACACACACACACACACACACACACACGGGTACATTCATCAAAACTAACCAAAAAATTATTGTACCAAAACATGGTTACATTTAAAAAAAAAAAAAAAAAGATATTAGGCTTAATAACATTATTAAATTTCTTCTATTAAACTTGACATTGATATATTCTCAAATCAATGAAATAAAATGTACCCATATAAGTTTAAGAATCCTTGAAATCTGGGTGTATTCAATTAGAATTTTAAAGAATATAACATTCCAGATGTATTCAATTAGAATTTGAATTCAAAGAATTTGGAAAAGTTGAGAATTTAGGAGGAATTGGAGAGATTTTGTAGTGTATTTGAAGCATCCACAAATCTCACATCTCCTCATGAGATTTCGAGAGAATTGAATCAAAATTTTACATAGAATCTTTACAAATTAATGAAAGCCAAAATTCGAAGCTCCAAACCCCCACTTTATTTTCTGAAAAATTAACTCTGTCAACAATTTTCTCAATGCGTCATGCATTTGTTTTACTTTCGTACAAGTGTTATTTTACATTAAACTAATTACAACTCTGGTTTTAATAAATATTTCTCGATGTGTTATCCATGTTCCAGACCATTGATCGATTTGGTAAAATAGCTCAACTACTCAACCCCAAAGTAGAGGTGGTAAAAACAAGAATTGCTTTGACAAATTTGACAAAGCAATGTACCATTAACATTACTTCCACAAGTAACCAAACAACCAAAAGCTTTGCAACAATCGATTCAGAAATCCAACCATTTCGTGAAGTAGACAGGGTTTGATGGGAAAATAATTCAATTACCTTTCCAAAATGTTTGCCAAAACCAATGGTTCCAAAGATTCACAACAAATAAAAATCATATGATAACATCATCCTTCGAGTGGATTGAGCACGTGATGAATTGAACTGTTCGAGTCGTTTCCTATTTGATAAAAAAAATAGGAATCGGTGATCAACCACGTGACATCTTTTGCCAATTAAATAAGGACACGTGGACAAAAACTTACACGTTTTTATTTGTTTGCACTGGACGTTATCGTGACGATGTACCCAAACCATATGATTCTTTCTCTTTAAAATATCACATCATATAGGTCATTTTTGTTTGGGGTCTGTCTATGATGCCTAGTGGTACTGAATACTCCCAGATTTGTAGCCGTATGCTCCCATCATTTTTATAGTAGCTAGATCTTAATTGTTGAAAGTATATCGCACATTAAGGAAAGAACAGATTTATTTATATTTATAGTGGATTCTCAACTTCTTCTTCGTGAATGTTCAAATATGACCGTTCATTTTTCGACATACTCAATGCTCCATTACATTGTAGAATAATTGCATTGTTTTCTGCTTAGGACATGAACCTTAAGCCGTACAACTTAGCTGCAACGTATGAGTAAAATGAACATGCTTTACTACCGAGCCCGAAAGTTGTGGTTGTAAAAACAAGAATTGCTTTGGCAAATTTGACAAAAATAACATCGCACGAATTCCGCAAATAACCAAATAACTAAAAGAGACTCGGCGCAAAATCTAGCGCAGTAGCGTTGTAAAGACTCCATTGAGTGAGATAAAGCTTTGTTGTTGCTATACAATCAGTTCAAAAATAATCCAACCATTTTGCGAAGTAAACGCAGGTCGATGGGGAAATAATGCCATCCGGTGTGCATTGACTATCCGCGGACAAACTCCACACGGAATGGAAGCCATTGCGCCTGCTTTGGTTTCCCCTCTGGTACCTCCCTTGCTTTTGCATTTATAGCAAACTTTTCCGATTTGAACAGAAGCAAACTCCCCCATCCCAGTGCTCTTCACCTCCACGACTCGATTGTCCAGAACCAAATCCCTCACAATCTCCTCCGTTTGCCGTTTCGTAAACTCAGTCTTGAATATTTTGGTCTTTCTGATCGCGTCTGCAATTCCCTCCAACGTAGCGACCTTGTGCTGATATATCATCTTCGCAAACTGGTCTTTCACGAGGCTTATATAATCTTTGTCGAGTATCCCCTCCGAGTACCAAGCCCCGCCGGTTAACTCCTTGGAGGGCTCGAATTCTGCAGCAATGTAATGCTTTCTCCCCTTGCTTTGGACGTTTACAACTTCCTGTATCAGTTTCTTGGCTTGAAGCGTTTTCAACGTTGCGTTAAACACCTTGTCAGGGAGGTTTGTCTCCTTCTTCATGTCCCGTGTCCAGATTCCCATATCTTGCATGCTATGGATCACACTGTATAGAATCCGCTCATTCTGGCTCAAAGAGTCCGCCGGGAAACCAGAGTTTGGCTGTTTCTGTTTGCTCATTGCTCTGATCCTGTCGAGGAGAAAAATAATCAACAGAAGAAACTTATCGACGCTTGCATCACGAAGCCGAAGGCCTGCTCATTGTTATGAACCGCTTTTTTTGAAATAGTGAATGCTTTAGATTGGTAGATTGTTTGATTTGCTTTAATGGTCGATGGAAATTGAAGGGAAACGGGAACGGAAAAGGATACCTCGATTTAATTCGCGTTCGTCGTCCTTGCGCGGGAGAAGAGGGGCGGTTTTGCACCGTTGGAGGGGAGGGATTTGGGCGTTTGGTCGGCGGGATTGCCGGATTGGGAGTCGGGACTCTCGAATCAGGACGGGAGGAGAGGAATTTTGCAGATGCAGAGTTGCAGTCGCCACTGGGCGATGGTGGTCCGATGAGCGATGGTGGTCACGTGGTGGTGTGACGGGTGCTGTCGCCGCTGTCGCGATTCGCCAAGGCCGGCCCAAAAGTACTACCATCGCAATAAACTCGAAAACACTGGAAATTACCAATTTACCAGGAACAGTAAACAGATCTTGCCGTTTGTGGGCTTTATTATTATTAACAAAATATGGGCCGGCTCGTTTGAACTGGCAGCCCAAACAAAAAAAGAAAAGAAAAAACAACATAAACGGGACCTGCACGTGGCACACAATTCTTCCGTGGTATTCATTAATGATCTGGGCTCGCTCGTTTGAACTCGATTAGTTAATCTTGCCTCGTTTGGTGGCTTGTATTGAATAATTCACTAGAACGTAGTGGCCGTTAAATCCATTTCTTGCTTCAACATACATTGAATGTAGTGGCATATGCAACCCAAATCCAGTACAAGCCACCAATGGAGGCCTTGGTGGTGTTATGAGAATCGTCTAAAGTCAAATTTTGTTATATTAGAGCGGTGGAAACCAAAGGAAGTAAGTGATTATATTCAAAACACTTTGTTTATACGACATCGATATATGGTAGATGTGTTTGATATGATATTGATATTTGATACTAATACATGAATATAACATTGTTAATATGACGTTGATATTCAGTTGTTATATCATTGTTAATATGGTTTTAGCCCTCTTGATCCAGTGGTGGTATTTGGACGTTCGTTCACTTATGAGTTTGCCTTGGTCTCTACATGTGATGCAGAGATTACGCAGTGCTTGGTCATATCATGCTTAATTACAAGAACCGCCTAGATCTCTGCCTAATTTTGGAGGCGCTAAGCTCTTATCAGTCGTCCAACTAGTGTCTAGCGCCTTTTCGAATGTTGAACGACATAATTTTGACAAAGTAATTTGTTGTCACATATTGAGGTACATAATATATTTTGGTATTGGCACACACACGTCAAACTATATATTATTGAAGATGCTCTTTCAAAAATGGTAAAATTCGAAATTAAAAGAGGGCTCAGAAATTGATGTTTCTGAAATCAAATTATGTGAAATAAGCTTATTTGAGAAATATATTTTATGAATCCAACTATTTATTTTTAGGTCGATTTTTAAAGATCACGTAAATTCAAAATTATATGATCGTTGGATTAAATAAAAGTTATTTTAATGTTTTTTTTGAAGAACATATTCGTCAAATTTTTCATAATAATTGAACGTCTTAATGGCTTTGGTTTTCTTTACTTTTTTTTTTTTTATAAAAATGATCTATCATTGGTGACTTAAAATTTATACGCCCACACTATGAGAGAAAATGTTATAAAAGTGACACCACGACGGATTCTTCAATAAAAGAGGATTGTGTGTATATATGTACATTATAAAATTTTGATTGAGGGGGAGGAAATAAAAATGCTCGAAAAGCCATTTAGTATAGCGGTTTAGTAGTATTCATCTTCATTTGTAAGTAAGAAATTTTAGGTTCGATTCTTGTCAAAAACAAAAAATTTTAACCATATTATTGCTAACCTATTGTGAGGCTTAGTTTATTTCCCCATCCCTTAATGTAGATAATATAATTTTTTATAAAATAAAAAAATAAAAAAATAAAAAAAAATAAAAAAACTCGAAAATGTAAGAACATAGGTCCTGTAGAGTAGAGAGCATGAGAGATTTTTTAATGTGACCGGAATATGAAGTGGTACACCACGTATCATTATACAAATAATGAGATATGTGTGATAAAAAATTAATAACTTAAAAATTAAATTTCTTACCATTTATATAATAACACATAATGTACTATATATTACAGGATATTTAGTTATTATGCATGTGGAGCCCCGTCAATGCCGATAGGGACACATGAAAGTTTCTACCTATGGTAGTACATGGTACAATACGTACCTATAATTATAGGGATTGCCATGGATTCACCTATAAATAAACAAGCAATTAATGCAAGTTAATAAAATGTCCAGTGTGTGTGTGTGTGTGTGTGTGTGTATATATATATAACCTATGAGAAATTATATCTGCACACAATTTTTATAGACCTACGTAAGTTTTTCGTACTTTAACTTCTTCAGTATTCTCTGTGAAATCATGTCTTGCATGCATGTAAACTTAGTACTGGTTTGGTACTGATGTGCTTTTATAAAAAATGGGTATAAAAAAAAAATTGAGCTCAAAAAAGTGTTTGGTAAACACTTAAAAACAGCTTATTTTCACTGTTTTGGGTGAAAAAAATTGAAAACGTGAAGTAGTAAAAATGACCTTATTCTTACAGCACAACAAAAACAGTTTTTTTTCAAAGCACAACAATATCAAACCAGCCATTAATAGGTGTAGAGTTTAAAGAAATATAAATGACGCGGATTGAGAGATATTTCATTATTTGGCACAATATAAACGTTACTTAAAATTTATACGAAAACTTTCTCAAATATCAGTTTGCCAATAATATGGTTGTACAAAACAATGGGCATCCAATGCACTTTGATTTTCTAAGAAGTTTTTGGGCCTCAACACTTGGCTCTACCACAATCCGCATTGTTGAAGTTGTTATTGTTCGAGATGCTTTCAAATTTGCACGCCAATGAAGCATCAAGCATATTTCATGTTCAAGTGGAAGGAGACTCGAAACTTGTCAATAATGCAATCCATGGTTGATTCTCGACCCCTAAAAATCACATACTGTTACTAAGGATATCCACTTCTTAGTTTGGCATTTTAATTCTACATCATGGAGTCATATGTTTAGGGAGGTTATTTTCTAAGCAGATCAATAAATTTGGGACACGTAAATATTAGCGCGTCTATATTTGAGACAAAACTATTGCCTTAGTTTCTTATCAACGCGATGTTAGAGAATAGGGTTTCTTATCAACGCGATGTTAGAGAATAGACTTTCACATCAAACATATGATAAAAAAAATTACAAACTAATATATGATAGATTTCACTTGTAATATTAATACATTATCTAAGCCTTTTGCAATAAAACTCAATTCTAATGATATATGATTAAATTAAGATAATATCAATAACGTTGTTGGTGGTCCACGTTAGACGTAAAAAGTTACCAACTTGACTTGGATTTTGAGTGAAGCTTTTATTCAAATTTAAGTGGGAATAGGCATAGCCAGCCTTTTGCCTTGTTTTTTAACCTCCTACTTTATTTGGAAAGGGAGAAAGTAAATGAGTGGGGGAGTAAAAGGTTAAAAGGGTGAAGTTAATGGGAACAGAAAGAAATGTAGATCAGCGCTGAAAAATTTAATGATGGGATATTACGGTAAATTTAGGCTGACAGAGGTGCACAAAATCTGAAAAAAAAAACAGACCAATAATTCAACGGCCTTAATTGGGAAGTCGTACTCTCCCAAGTGGGGTCGTCTGACTTCTGCCTGTGAGCTGTGACAACAACATTTTTGGAATCTGAAATAATTTTTTTCTGAGTATATCGATATTTTTACGTTAAAAAGAATGAGAGTTCAGTTAAATCATATAATAGCCAGTTTAATTTGGTATATAATTTTTCATTTATGGGATTCAAATATAAAATCTTTTACTTCTGAGTGAGAAGAAATACTACTAACTATAGTACTGAATTGCTGAAATTTGATGTAATTAATTTGAAAATTGAATTAATTTTGGAGAAAAAGGAAAGAAAATAGTTCGATGAGTCTCCATCAAGAAATACGGAGAACCAAACAAAGGAGTATAATGCAGGAACAGTAATTCCCCACTGCGACCACTGTGCTTTCCCCCCACAAGCGCTACAGTGAAAGTAATATACTAATTTAGGGCTCGTTCTGAAATGTTTTAAAATAATCGAAAGAGTTTTTAGAGAATATATTTTTGGATTCTAAAAACACTTGAAATTGTACTTCTTGCAAAAAACACTTCAAGTGCTTTTTTAATATTCATTGTATTTTTATAAGTATTGGTTTCAAAATATTTCACCAAAATTGTTTTTAGTTATTTTAAAAGTACTTATAAACGAGCTGTAGGAATTTCTATTGTGTTTCATAGTATAGGTTAAATATTTGTACCATTTTATTCGTTATGTGTTTCACCCAGCAACGTGTTCCAATTACATAGTTGTACATCGGCCATCCACTTAATAATACATGGTTGTCCATCAACCATCCACAAAAACCCTTTTTCCCTTCCACACACACCTCGTTAATTTATGTTATTTGTTCTTCTTTAATTTATTTAAATTCAAGATTAGAAATTAAAAAACGTGTGTAAAAAGTAAAAAAAGAAGTATATAGATAACATCATCATTTTAAAATTTGAAGGATCGAACTTGATCACTAAATCACTACTCTAAGACAAAATATTGGTTACGCCTGTCTTGTGTGACGACACTTTCTAAATCGGATGAGGTTCTCATGAAGTGAGTCCCACCCCTTGTAAATGTTGTCGAATAAAACAACTTTGCTCAAGATCTACTCTTGCTCTATCTTTTCTCCCAATCTGAGCTAATCCTGATTAGTTTGTATTAACTCAAATAATATAATAACTTCATTAACTCTGTGACAACAAACAACTTGAGCAAGTGAGGATCAAGTTTTACCAAAACTCAAACTACACACTCAAATTTTAGCTCACACATACTCTCATTTTCATAATAACTCTGGTAAAATTCAGTAAAAGTATTACGAACTGTCTATCTTGATAAAGCTGATTGACTAAATGATCTCATATTTTTATGATTTTTCTTTTACAGATATAATATTTACATGGTAATATTTATAATATTATCCATTTCACATAATTTTGTTTTTATCATTGAATCTTTATGTAAAAAAAATCAATTGAAACAATGATTATTTAGCCAATCAATTGTAGCAAATAGATAGACAGTTCATAATACTTTTATTCATTTCGACCATACTTTTTCATACAATTGAATGATTAAATGATCTTATATTTTATTAATTTAATTTAGTTTCCATTTTCCTTTTTTTTTTCTTCTTCTTTCTCTTCTTCTATATATATATATATATATATATATATATATATATCATATTTCTGTTCTAAATTTCATAAATTATTTTATTCAATTTTAACTTTGGCACCTTTTTTAAGAGTATATGATATTCATTTAAGGCACGAGGACCATGCATTAGGGTTATCGATTCTTCGACCTGGGATCAGTCTAGTTTGATCGGAAGAGAGTTATGGTGTTGCTAGTATTACAATTTAGTAGTTTGAAGTTCGACTTTCATAAAAAGCGAGTTCGATAAATTTATAATTATGGTAGCTCCATTTATGACTGTTTCCAAATTCCATCCCCAATATCGTTATATAAAAGTTGCAATATATATATTGAGCTAAAATTATATATGTATCAAACTAAAAGTTGCGTGAGTTCTCTTTTTTATTACATTACAAATTGGTTAACGAATCATACATATATCTAGCTAAGTTTGGTGAGGGTTCACTTTTCGCCATTTCATGGATGGATATAATAGCATTGAGTTTCTGTATCATTTATGCTAATTTTCTTGCGTGACTTTTGAATTAGTGCCTAAGAAAAAAATACCCAAGTAAAAAAAGT